GCTGGGATTACAGGCATGCACCACCATGCCCAGCTAATTTTTTGTATTTTTAGTAGAGACAGGGTTTCACCATGTTGACCAGGATGGTCTCGATCTCTTGACCTCGTAATCCACCCGCCTCGGCCTCCCAAAGTGCTGGGATTACAGGCTTGAGCCACCGCGCCCGGCCCAGGCTTGATTTTCTACCTCGCCCTCATTTGTCAGTACTATAACTTCTACTGCTACATGCTTTTACAATAAACTCTGTTGCTTAATTAAGGTATGGCACAGCTGCTTCTATCACCAGCCTTGATTTTCTACCTCTCACTCATTTGTCAGTACTATAACTTCTACTGCTACATGCTTTCACAATAAATTGTTGCTTATTTAACCCTCCAATTATTCTTGATTATCAGCTGTGACTAGAAACACAGACAAATCCTCCATCTCCCAATCTACCAAGAAATGAACAAGACTGTGCCTCCTTATCCCTGGATTTTAATTTATCTTTCACAACTGTCCACAATTTATTTTAACCTGATTCTATTTCTACAGATTGTCACATTCATTTAATCCTGATACAAAGCCTTGTGTACAAAGATGTTTCTTGCTGTACATAACAATTCAAAACAAAAGCCTACTATTAAATATAATGTCTAAAATAGTATTTCTTAAAAAAACACAATTAAAACTATTAATATAATCTTAAGAAATTTTATATGAAATGGAGTAATTTCATAAACACAGAAAGACATCAAAATATAACAGAACATCCTCACAAAACTCTGCACTTGCAGACTTGGAAAGTTCCTGCAATTTTGTTGTAGTGAACCTGCTAATGATGTTGGTGGGATTACAAGTGTACAAGCAATTTAATTCTCTCTATTTTTCTCTATTTTCTAAATTTTCTACAATATATACATATTACTTTTATAAGCGGAAACAAAAGTGAACTTTAAGGGAACAAGAATTACAACGTCAATGCTGTAAAGATACCCCTAGTACAAGAACAGAACCCACACAAACACTTATTCCTGTGGGGGAAAAGGATCAATGGAATGACACAAAAGTTAGTAAGTACGGTTTTCCCTTGGGAAAACTATATGGAAAGCAAAGATTTTCAACTATTGTATTTGGAAAAAAAAGTTCAGCTCCACAAAGGCCTACGTGAAGTTCAGAGCAGTACTAAAATGACCACTGGCAGTATCCAAGGGCCTCTTCTCAGAGGGAAATAACTGTGAAAGCTGCCTTTCTGCTATATAAGTGAACACTCACAGTCTAAGAGCTGGCTTCCCAGGTTTCAACCCCCATTCAAAGTAAAGAAGATTAATATACCCATACCTATAAAACTCCTCTTGAATGGTGGTGGAAAGTTGCTGGTTAAATTGTTCCAGGTCCACAAAACTCACAACCAATGTGTTTCTCTCAGGACGAATCAGTTCCTCTGCTAATTGCAAATACTTAATTTCTCCATCGCTGCTCTGGAACCTGTAGGTACATGTGAGATGACTAGATTAAGGACACAGGTAATAAAAACCTGAGTGATTTATAATTCAGAATATTGGTTAAACTCCAACAACTGGCTCAGACAGGCTCATGTTTAGCAGTTCTGTAACTTGGGGCAAGTTACTTATCCCCTCTGATAAGGTTTGGCTGTGTCCCCAACCAAATCTCACCTTGAATTCCCACATGTTGTGGGAGGGACCCAGTGGGAGGTAAGTGAATCATGAGGACAAGTCTTTCCTGTGCTGTTCTCGTGATAGTAAGTAAGTCTCATGAGATCTGATGGTTTTAAGGAGAGGCGTTCCAGTCGGGTGCGGTGGCTCATGCCTGTAATCCCAGCATTCTGGGAGGCAGGCAGATCACGAGGTCAGATCAAGAGCATCCTGGCTAACACAGTGATACCCATCTCTACTTAAAGTACAACAAAATTTAGCTGGGTATGGTGGCATGTACCTGTAGTCCCAGCTACCTGGGAGGCAGAGGCAGGAGAATCATTTGAGCCTGGGAGGCAGAACTGCAGTGAGCCAAGATTGTACCATTGCACTCCAGCCTAGGCAACAGAATGAGATTGTCTCAAAAAAAAAAAAAAAAAAGAGTTCCTTTGCACAAAGTCTCTCTCTTTGCTGATGCCATCTATGTAAGACATCAGTGCCTTGCTCCTCCTTGCTTTCCACCATAATTGTGAGGCTTGTGAAACTCTAAGTCCAGTTAAACCTCTTTCTTTTGTAAATTGCCCAGTCTCAGGTATGTCTTTATCAGCAGCATGAAAGCAGACTAATACATCCTCTAAACATCCTTTTGTTATTCTTAAAAACAAAAACAAATTAGGACCTCAAGTCATCTCATAAAACTGCTGTGAAGATTAAATGAGAGAATGCTTGTAAAAGTAATGTGCACAATGTCTGGAAAACAGGAAAAGTAGGTCCTTGGATTGTAAATTAAAATTTTTTTTTGAGACAGTCTTGCTTTGTTACCCAGGCTGGAGTGCAGTGGCACAATCACAGCTCACTGCAGCCTCAACCTCTGGGGCTCAATGATCCTCCTACCTCAGCCTCCCGAGTAGCTGGGACTATAGGTACATGCCACCATGCCCAGGTAATTTCTGTATTTTTTGTAGAGATGGGATTGTCCCATGTTGCCCAGGCCAGTCTTGAACTTCTGGGCTCAAGCAATCCACCTGCCTCAGCCTACCAAAGTGCTGGGATTATATGTGTGAGTCAAAACACACACCCAGTTTCTTTCCTTTTTTTTTGTCACCCAGGTTAGAGGGCAGGGGCACAATCTCAGCTCACTGCAACCTCTGCCTCCCAGGTTCAAGTGATTCTCCTGCCTCAGCCTCCCAAGTAGCTGGTACTACAGGTGTGTGCCACCACACCTGTCTAATATTTTGTATTTTTTAGTAGAGATGGGGGCTTCACCATATTGGCCAGGATGGTTTTGATCTCCTGACCTGCCTCAGCCTCCCAAAGTGCTGGGATTACAGGTATGAGCCACCGCGCCCGGCCCTTTCATTTTTTTTTTTAAACCCCTGGCATGAGAGTAAACTAAGTATTTCTTGATTTAACATTTTTCAATCAAGAACTACTAACAACATCGACAATCCAACAAAACTACCAACTGTTCTTTTATAATCAAGATTGGAAAATGTTCCAAGAAATTCAGTCTTAAAACTAAAGATTCCATTTCTGTAGGGAATTTGCAAAATGATAGATTAGTAACAGATTTAAGAAGTAGAATAGAAATAAGAATACACAGAAATGAGGTGCTTCACTGCCCAGGACTTCAGGAAAATTGAAATATGCACAACAAATAAAGCTGCTGGTATTTTTCCTTCTAAAGCCCAAGCAGGGTATCATACAAATTTATTTTTTGTTCCTTTAAACAGAATATGCAGATTCACTTTAAGAAAAAATAAATTCCTCCTCCAAATACAGCAACAGCATGTTCTGACTCCTTAAAATATTTGTTAAACAACTATGTGCGAAGTCCTATGACAGTGGTATCTGAGGCTGAAAATGGCAGTGTTGTTCCTGCCTGCCCTAGGGTTAACTAACATCATCTGTTTAGGGAGTCAGACATGTAAACAATGAGGACAGACAAGAAAGATGGTCCTGTTAATGAGAAGAACAAGAAATGTGCTAGGGTAACAGAAACTAATTCTGCCTGAAGGAACAACTGTAAGAGTCATACATGTAAAAGGTGGCACTGGAATTCAGCTTCTGAAAGAGTTAAAAATTTCAAAGAAAAACAGGTGGTGAAGTGACTGATTACAGATGTTTGCAAGTATGTGATTAAGTCAGAGAAGATAGGGGAGAAGTGTGGATGATGACTGAGGCTGGTTTTGGAAGACAAACAGGAAAGAGTGGTGAAGAATGTAAACTTTATTCCACAAGCAACGGTGAATCAGTTGATTTTGCGATAGGGAGTTGGCATTTTTTTAAACAAAGTACAGGGATTATTTGTTTCATCATTATCATCTAGCTGCACAGTCAAGGCACTTACATTATGTGTTTAAACAAAACATTTATTGAAGAACCTTTGTAATGTGGTGCAGTAGGTAGGCAGAGTTGAGGATGGGATTTGACTGAGAGGTAAATACACTGCTGGAAGTAAATGAAAAACAACCCTGGGAGCCTAAGGAAGAAAGGATTAGTGCCTCTCAAAAAGGTGTACAAGGTTTCACAAAGGTGTGAATTTTTAGCTAGGTTTTGAAGGAGGAGCTGTCAGGCAGACAGTAACATTGTCATAGGAAGCGAAATGGAAATTAAACTATGGTTTTAGTATATAAAGATTTCATAAGATGGCAGTATTATTCACAATAGCCAAAAGGTGGAATCGACCTGCATCCATTGAATGGATAAGCAAAATGTAGTATATACAGGTTTAGCAGCCCTCATCTGAAAATCCAAATACAAAATTGTCCAAAATCTGAAACTTTTGAGTGCTGACATGATGTTCACTGGAGCATTTCAAATTAGGAATGCAACTGGTTAAGTATAATGCAAATACTCGAAATCTGGAAAAAAAAAAAAAAAAAAAAATCCAAGATACCAAACAGTTCTGGTCCCAAGCATTTCTAAAAAGGGATACTCAACCTGTACAATGTTATTTACCCTTAAAAAGGAAAATTCTGACACATGCTACCTCGCGGAGGAACCTTGTAAACATTATGCTAAGTGAAACCAGCCAGACACAAAAGGACAAACACTATACGATTCCACTTATATGAGGTACCTAGAGTAGTCAAACTCATAATGAAAGGAAGCAGAGTGGGGGCCGAAGGAGGGGGTAATGGAGGCGAGTTTGTGTTTAATGAGCACAGAATGCCAGTTTGGAAGATGAAAAGAGTTTGGAGATAGAGAGTGGTGACGGCTGCACGACGAGGTGAATGCCCTTAATGCCACTGGGCTGTACACTTAAAAATAGCTAAAATGGTCAACTTTGTTATGCATATTTTACAATAAAAATAATTTCATAAGCCATTCCAAACTGCTGACCCTTCAGCCTGTAGGTCGTGGTGTATGTGCTCTCGGAAAAGTAACCGGTGGGTGAGGCAGGTCAGGGAGGAGGCTGGGGTTAGGAGGCTAGGAGCCCAGAGGCACAGAAAAAAGAGGGGTAGGGTAAGGAAAGGAAGGCCAGAGGGAGAGGGGAATAAGGCACCCAGAACAAGGAATATGGTCAGCTACTTTACAGGGCAGGGCTCCGGCCCCAGCAGCTTTTTCTTTCTTTTTTTTTTTTTTCAAGCAGTTCCGAGCTAAGCTTACAGACCACAGTTCACGCTGAAACATTCGTCAGCACAGGAAGCGAGGGTGGCCCGGGCCGTGGGCGCCCCCAGCACCTGACTCCTGGCTGCGTGGCCCAGCAGGGCTCCGCCGGGATTCAGTAGCAGTTCGGCCTCCCACTCGACCCAGCCGCACCCAGTGGCCCAGTTACTTATCCTCAGCGAGCCCGGGTTTCCGCGCCGGTCACCGGGGACTGTGCAAATAGCGGGCTCACGGGTGGTGATCACCAAGTGACAGAAACAAAGCGCTGAGCACTGGGCACCAGCAACTTAGGGCTCGAGATAGGTTTTAGTCCTGAAAAAAACCCAGCCTGTCCCAGGCTCCTCGTGGCCGCAGGGCTCGGAGCCTAAAGTTGGGAGTGGGCGGGGTGGCGCTTCCCGGTCGTGCGACCCCCAGGTTCCCGAACGCCCGCGGGCCATACGGCCCCGCCCGGCCCCGATACCGCAGGTTCTGGAGGCTGGCGGCGGGGGAGGCCCCGCGCGCTCGCCGACTTACTCCTCCAAGAAGTCCAGGAACAGTTTCTGGCACTTCTCGGCCACCTCGTCGCGGACCTCCAAATGCTGGCTGCCGGCGCCCGGCTCCGCTGCCGCCGCGAGGTCCATATTTGCCTAGCGCCGAAAACTCGCCTACGCCACGCTCAATCGCCACAAGTCGTTTCTTTCCAGACGCTGCAGCTTTTCGCGCGCCGCCGCCGCTTCCGCCCCGCCCCCTCTCCGACTGGCACGGCCGGAACCAATCGTGACACAGGAACCGAAGATTTCGCGCCAAACCTGACCAATGAACGGCGTTCATTGGTCTCCCCAGGGCCCCGCCCACGGAAAGGGATTTCGCGCCAAATGCAAAGTCCTCCGGGGAATGCCCAGGTCTGCCTTTGCGCCTGCGCAGTGTGGCCGTGGCCCGCGGGTATTTTGGCTGCTGGAACACCTTAGAATCTGTTTTTAACCGAGTGGTTTTTCAAATGTTCTTTAAAACCTTTCACTGATATTAACTGAAGGATCGGAGTAAGACTCTATGGAAGAGAAAAATGAGTAAGATTCAAATCTCCAGCTTTTGCTGTCTAGTTGGAGGAAATAAGCTGGAAACCACAGGATAAAACCCTGTAAAAGAGTCAGACGTCTAAACAGCGCCTGAGTAAGGTGGCCCAATTATTATGGTGGTGCTGACCGAAGAAAATCAGCGAAATATTTGACACTGGCCAGGCGCGGTGGCTCATGCTTGTAATCCCAGCACTTTGAGAGGCGGAAGCCGGTGGATCGCCTGAGGCCAGGAGTTCGAGACCAGCCTGGCCAACATGGAGAAACCTCGTCTCTACTAAAAATACAAAAATTTGCCGAGCGTGGTGGCGCATGCTTGCAATCCCAACTACTCAGGAGCCCGGGGCAGAAGAATCGCTTGAACCCAGGAGGCGGAGGTTGCAGTGAGCCGAGATCGCACCACTGCACTCCAGTCTAAGCTACAAAGTGTGACTCCATCTCCAAATAAATAAATGAAAAACAGAAAGAAATATTTGACACTTGATTAATCTCCTTTTTCTTCAGATGAAGTCTCTGTCGCTCAGGCTTGAGTGCAGTGGCACAATTAGCTCACTGCCCGCCCACCACCATGTCGGGCTAAGTAGAGATAGGGTTTTGTCATGTTGGCCAGGCTGGTCTCAAACTCCTGACCTCAGGTGATCTGCGCGCCTCGGTCTCCCAAAGGCCTCCCAAAGCGCTGGGATTACAGGCATGAGCCACAGCGCCTGACTTTAATCCCCTTCTTAAAATGCACTATTGGCTTCAGTTCTTTTGTTCTTTCCACCATCTTTTCCTGACTTCTGTTTCACTTGGTTTTTCTGCCAACTCTTTGATTTCACTCTGTTTTTCTGCCACCTCGTTGGCTATTCTTGGTTAGCATCTTTTGTAGGTGCCTCTTCTTCAGCGAGTCTTTTAAATGTTCTAGTTCCAGAGCCTGCTTTTTCCATAAAGTCGTTCTTTTGGGTGACCCCTCTCACTCCCTTGGCAATAATGAACGTCTGGGTACTGATGATATCTATATATATTTTGTTTCACCAACCATTACCTTTCCTTGCCCTCTAAGACATTAAGAGAAATGGGGACCACTTCCAGTTTTTGAGGCTTCTAGCATAGTAAAAATACCTTTTCTTCCTTTTCTTGAGATGGGATCTTGCTATGTTGTGCAGGCTGCCCTTGAACACATGGTCTCCAGCAATCTGCCTGCTTCTGCCTCCTGAGTTGCTGGGATTTTTTGCCACCAAATCCAACTTATTAAAAAAATTTTAAAATGCCAAGCAGAGTGGACAGTAATTCTTTTAACGTGTACAAATACACTATTCACAAGATATTTACAGAGTTTAACAAAAATAATCAATGCTGATGTGTTGCAGTGCATCTGTAGTCATATGTATTACCTCATTTGAAAATGAACACTTGAGGCCCTGTGTCCTACAGCTCTTTACCAGCTCCAGAGTCTGCCTGCCTCCTGGACATTACCACTTGTACGTATTTTAGAAACCTTGAACTCAGCAGTGCGTCCTGGATATTCACAACCCTAGTGCACTAAGAACAGATCCACAAGCTATCTGGAAGCTAATCAGATTCTGCTCTATCCTCTCAAAAGGCCTCACTCTTTTCTTTCCCATTTTTCCTCTCCTCCGTTCCCTTCCTCTTCTATCCTCAGGATAGATTTCTCAGAACTAAAGGCCCATGTACAGAAGGAAAAAACCGAAAATGATAGTGCAGAGCTCTGGGCTAATTTTCGGCTATGTTCATTGAGAAACTCAAGGCTTCCTCTTCTCAGCTTCCATATGTCATAGGTGTTCCCTTCCTCCTTCAGACATGCATTCTGATCAGAACAGTAGATGAGGTCTGTAAGTGAGATTTGTGGGGATACTTTCCACAACAGGAAGAGGGTATGGGTTGTAGTATGAAACACCCCAAAAAGTTCTATACTGTCTGCATGCGCTGGTGCCCAGGCCTAACTGCTATCCTTAGAAAGGCCTGCTCACATTGGGAACTTGACTGGTAAATAATTCTCTATACTGATATAACACTATCCCCTAACTGTTAAGGATGGCTCATTGTACCTAAACTGTATGAACAATGTGGTTTATGCTGAATACCTGGTATTCTGGAATTTTTTTTTTTTTTTTTTTTTTTTTTTTTTTTTTTTTTTTTTTTTTTTTTTTTTTTTTTTTTGAGACAGGGTCTTGCTGTGTTACCCAGGCAGTTCAGTGACACAATCGCAACTCATTGCAGCCTCGGACCTCCTGGGTTCAAGTGATTCTCCTGCCTCAGCCTCCCGAGTAGCTGGTACTACAGATGCATGCCACCACACCTGGCTAATTTTCATATTTTTTGTAGAGATGGGGTTTTGCCATGTTGCACAGGTTGGTCTCGAACTCCTGGGCTCAAGCAATCCTCTAGCCTTGGCCTCACAGTGCTGGGATCACAGGTGTGAGCCACCATGCCAGGGCCTCCATGATTTTTTTTTTTTTTTTTTTTGAGACAAGGTCTTGCTGTGTCACCCAGGCTGGGGTGCAGTGACACAATCATGGCTCACTGCAGCCTGGGCTCAGATGATCCTCCCACCTCAGCTCCCAAGATGTGCACCACCATGCTCAGCTAATTTTTATATTTTTTGTAGAGACAAGATTTCAACATGTCACCCAGGGTGGTCGTGAACTCCTGGATTCAAGCAGTCCTTCCAAAGTACTGAGATTACAGGTGTGAGCCACTGCACCCAGCCACCCATGATTCTTTTAAGATATTATTTTAGAATAGCTTTAGATTTACCAAAAGTTGCAAAAGATAGTATAGAATTTTCAAATACACCTTGTCTATTTTCCCTTACTGTTAATATCTTACACTCTTTTAATACATTTATTACAACTCAGGAACCAACTATGGTATGTTAGTATTAATTAATATTGCACACTTTATTCAGATTTCACTAGTTTTTCCCTAATGCTCTTTTTCTCTTCCCAGATCTCATCCTGATGCCACATTACACTTAGTGGTCATGTCTCCTTAGACCCTTTTGGCTTGTAACAGTGTCTCAGACTTTCTGTGGTTTTAATGCCATTGACAGTTTTGAGGAGTGCTAGTCAGATATTTTGCAAAATGTCCCTGAATTGGGATTTGTCTAATATTTTTCTTATGATTAGACAGTGATTATGGATTTGGGAAGGACGATCACAGAGGTAAAGTAAACTTCTTACCATTACCTTATGATTTTGAAGCAAATCTCAGACATTGTATCATTTCATTTGTAGATATTTCAGAATGATTTTCTAAAATATAAGGGCTCTTTTTCCTGAGACATATTTTTAGCTGGGAAGGAAACGTCCTTCAAACAGCTGTAGCAGTGCAGGTTAGTAATGCTCATCATTTAAAATCTAACTGTAATATTTTCCAGAATCACTGATATATCAACTTACACTGAATAAAACCAGCAGATTAAAAAGTTATATGATTTATTGTGGGTGGTGTGCAATATTCAATAAGATATTTCTCAAATTATATTATGAAATCTTTTCTTTTAATGCAGTCAACCCTCATCTTATAAAATATTTGGTATATTTTACATTTTTAGTTTCTTGAGACAGCATTTCACTCTGTCACGCAGGCTGGAGTGCAGTGGTGCAATCACAGCTCACTGCAGCCTTGACCTCCTGGGCTCAGGTGATCCTCCCACCTCAGCCTCTCCAGTAGCTGGGGCTACAGGTGTGCACCACCATACTCAGCTAATTTTTGTATTTTTTGTAGAGATGAGGTTTCATCATGTTCCCCAGACTGGTCTCAAATTCCAGGGCTCAAGCAATACTCTTGCCTGAGCCTCCCAAAGTGCTGGGATTACAGGCATGAGCCATTGTGCCCAGCCTGTTCTACTTCTTATTAACAACAAGAACAAAAAGTGTATGCTAGCTGCTAACCAGATTTTAGCAGGATGACTTTCTTCTTAATTATTTAAATAGGCAGTTTGATTTCTAACAAAATAAGTTTGACTATGATGTCTAACAAAATAAGTGGAAATAATGGTAATTTTTTGTTATTTTTATATAATTCTTAGTTTTTTCCAAAAGCTGAACACCAGAATTCTATACACACACACACACACACACACACACACACACACACATGCACACAATGACAGTTACTTTTGTGTGCTAACCTGAGAAGATCATGGGCTGCCCAGATTAAATATTATTTCTGCTTATGTCTGTGAGGGGTTTCTGGAGGAGATTAGCATTTAAGTAGATGGATTCTGTACAATAGATTGGCCTGCCCAGTGTGAGTGGGCACCATCCAATCCATAGAGGGCCTGAACAGAAAAAACAGCAGAGGAAAGCGGAGTTTGCCCTCTTTTTCCTGCCTTACTGCCTGAACTGGGACATCTCATCTTCTGCCTTCAGATGAGATTTATACCATCGGCTCCCCTGGTTTTCAGCCCTTCAGATTGAACCATCCACCAGCTTTTCCTGGGTTATGCCAGCTCATAGGATTTCCCAGCCTCTGTAACTGCATGAGCCAATTCCTTGTAATAAATCTGCCTCTCTTTCTCTCCTATTGGTTCTGTTCTCTGAAGAACATGGCTAATACACCCACTTTTAACTTTCATATACTCCTCAACTCATAATAACCTATCATTTTAAATATACCTTACATTATATTATACATTAAGAAATATGAAGTTGCATACAAATTTACTCTTTTTTTTATAGCTACC